TATCACTCCTTTCATGTCAGTATCAGGTGCGTGAACCATCTCCAACTGCATTGACTGAATCTGCAGAATGGTATCTCTGTCTTTGTCTACTCCAGGTACTTCGAGTATTATAAAAATCCAATGGAGCAGATGCACGAGCGCTGTGAAAATTATCCTCCCTGTGACTATCTCTCTGACCAAATAGGATTTTCCTTGGCCTACAACCGTTTCTTTGGGAGATACTAAGGATGGGAAAGTCTCTTCATTTGTTTGGCTTGGAACACTCTGAGCCCCACAGGAGAAAGAAGGCTGTGGGTGGGAAAGAAGGAAGAAAAATATCTAGACTGGCATCTACTTTCATTGTCTCCTTAACCAACTGGAATGCAAGGCACTAATTATCCTACTTGTTGAGCTTGCATTAGGTTTTTTCCTTTCATCTAAAAAAGTCTCTCTTTAGAGAGACTGTGGTATTTTGAGCTTCACCAGAAGACTCTGTCTTACTTCCTCCCATCTGAATCCCCAGGACACAAGAGGTGAAAAAAAAGGTGATTGGTCTCAAGAAAATCATTACACGCCTTAGAAACAAAACTAGACCTCTTGTCCTTTTCTGACAAATGCAGAAGGATTATAGAAGAATGTCCCAGTTATGATGTTGTTACAAAATGTGTGTAAATGTGATGGATCTGATCCTGGGATGCTCACTGAGAAGAATGAAGAACAGCCGCCTCCTGTTAGAATTACTGGAAAGTTTAGTATTTTTACATGGTATAATTACACTAAGTATGCATCACAGTAGGATCACTTTGTAAAGATAAAAGTGGGCAAATACTATTGCAGAGACAGAAATCAGGTTCCGGTACACTTTTCTGATTATTCTGTCACAAAATTTGCCAGTATAGCAGCAACAAAGAAATCCCCAAAAGAATGTTTAAGGAGTGTTTCATCCTTTTAGATGAGCTCTTCCATTTGTACACTGTATTCAGTGACTGTCTGTAAAAAGCAACTCGGAAATTTCTTGTTGTTTGTTTTTTTAACCTGTTTCTGGTGAAACTGAACATACCTGGGCAAAACAAAAAAACCCCAACCTGTTCCTCTCTAATGCTATTGCATTTTTGCTTGAAACTAGAAGTGTCTAAGCAGCTTAAAAAAAAAAAAAAAAAAAAAAAAGGTTATGGAATAAACAGAAAGAAAATTGATTCAAGAATGTATTGAAGTTGGGTCAGCATTTCATTTATTCAAGACAACTTGTATCTAAATATAATGTATGTGTGTATTTATATACATATTGTCTTCCCTCTGCACTACTTCATTCTGTCCTCTGGTATTAGTGTTATACCTTAGCACTTTCTGCACAGCCTTCCTTAATATGCTCTGTCAGCTTTCCTTCCCTGAGAGGTAGATGGCAGATCACACCTGCAAGGAAAAGAACTGCTGATCCTCGGGAGACTGACAGAGATCAAGTCTCTTGTTATGTGTAAGCTGGTGCAACCATCCTCAGCTGCAGATTGCAATAAACACTGCTTATGTAAAGCAGGTCGGTCTGCTGCTTCTCTCTGTTTCTCTGTACAACCTTTATTTGTGGTTAAAGAGATGCCTGGAAGGTACAACCTGCTTTTGTGAACCCTGAGGAGCAGGAATCCAGTGCATGAGCCTTCCTCCTCTCCTCCTGTGCCCCAGTGTGAATCAGAAGTGACTACATCAAAATTCAGGTTGTAGTTCTAGCACTTGGTGATAGTGAGGGAAAGGAGGGCTAGGTTTTTCCTGATTCACCATCTACCCAGTTCAGTGTTTCTCTGAAAGACCTTGGCCTGAAGTAAGGACACAGGATAAGTCCTCAGAGATGGCTGCCAGCAGGAGTGTGAGCATGTCATTTGGCAAGCTGCTGTGACTTGTACCAGTTGTGCTGATCTTGGCCAAGGGGAAGAAACTTAATAAATATCTCTGCATGTCTTGGTCAAACACCTGTGACCTGTAAATAGTTCCTCTATTGTCATAAACTGATGGGGCTTCACTGCTCACAGCAAAACTCCCCTCTGAACACCATCTAGTAAAAATCAACAGAGTGCTTATTGGAAGAAGTGACATTTTTACTTGGAAAAATACTAGAGAGATTAGTGAAATCCTAATGCCTGGTGTAATAATAAAATAAGGATTTTTTTTTTGTTGTTGTATGTTTTGATTAGCACAAAAAGTTTCCTGTCTATGTTTGCATCATTCTGTCTCTCCCTTTCAGTAAATATTGTTTTCAAGCAGGTTGCAACGGGGGACCTCCATTATGTCATCTACTCTGTGTCACCAGATCCCTACGTGGGCTGAAGTCATGACCTTTGGGGATCTGAGTGCACAGATCACATTACACATTTACTGCTGAAATGGAGGAATTCGATTTTTGCTTGGTTAGTGCAGTTCCAAGTCTAAGTTCCACTACAAATGTTCTGCTGCCATCTTATGGCCATTGTATTTATTGTATTTAATAATACACTGTTTCTTTTAAATCATTTGAAAATGCAAATTCAGTGGCCTTTCTTTCGAATGCCCTTCATACTAAACATACACTAAGAGATCAGAAGGAAAAACCCGGGACATAATCTTACTAGTATGTGCAGCTGCACTGACATCTAAGTGGGGCTGTTTATCATGATTGCCAAGATCCCATGGCAACACATCTCAGTTTCACTCTGTTTTATCTCTACACAAACAGAAGAGGAGATGCCTCTGAATTAATTCACAAACCCTCCTGTGTACTCACTTTTAGCAGTCAAACAATGACTTCCTGACATACAGCCCAAGATAGCAGAGAAATTCCAAAAAGGAGAAGTAGGTAGGCTTCATCTATCACTTTGTATCATTCTTCATGTCATCATCTTATGTCCCCAGTGGTGACAGATACTGTCAGCAGCATCAGCTCCTTTGGAAGCAGTCCAGTGTGAGACCTTTATGTCACCTCTCACCCTATTTCAGCAATATTTGGCAAATGCTCTCTGTCCACAGAATCTAAGCATCTGCACAAACATCTCTTATCTCGGGGAATCCCACTATGTCTGGAGGTGCACCCCTCACCCAGCCTATCACTAGCAGGCCATGGAAAATGGTTTTTACTTCTCTATGGTCAGAACCAAGGCCCTGAGAGCTCTTGATTCTTTTTCCATACAGAATAGTTATCAGAGGCCATGGGGCTTTGAAAGTGAATAACTCTCTGCTGTTATTTGGGAGGGGTCTGGAAAGCAGCCGCTAGAGAGGGGTTTGACTCAGTACAGAGTCTGCATTTACACACTCCTTTTGCACGTACCCAATATAAACAGTCCAACAAGGTGCCACTCTGCACTGGTGCAAGGGTAGGATTGGCAGCGCATGATTAGAAGACGGGGGTGATAAGGAGGAGAAGGACAGTTAGGTTATCTCTGCTTCCAGACGGGATCCCAACCTCCCCTGCGTTTCTGTGTTGGCTTTATGAAAGCCAACTTCTTTAAAAGGTCTTTTTAAGCTCTTGACCAGGGAGTACTCATCTTGACACATCACTTCTCAGGGGACAACTGCCTTAGACTTCTCCAAGCCATGATTTTCTTCCTTTTTGCAAGACAAGAACACCAGATACCTTGGAATTAAAAGAACTATCAAGGTGACGGACACTCAAAGCAGCTGGAGATGGTACAACCAGACCCTTCCTTATGGATTGTGGGCACACTTCTACCAATAAATTGTCTGCTTGGATTGATTAATGACTTCTGAACTGCTGTGAGAATCTGATGAATGATCTTTGGTTGAAGAACTGTCACCAAAACCTGAGTGCAAATTACAAACTGCAGAATTTTCCAGTTCAAGAAAAAAGGGAAAGAAACAGATGTAAATGATCTCTTCTTGAACAAAATGTTCTTTCCAGTGCCTTGGGTGGACTCTAGGAAGCCACTGTTGCTGGGCAGCCTCCTGTTGCTGATGTTCTCACAAACATTGGTTAAAAGGGTAAACATTGTTCTTTATTTGAAATGGTGATACTGCTTACCTCACTGAAATAAACTTTTGATTTTTTCCCATTTGAAACAGTTTCTTTAAGGAGCTTTGAGTTCAATTTTAACTTTTCTGCATTCAGTTCCTCTGTTCCATTTCCTACCTGTCCTAATTTCTTTAAACTGCTTTGTTGGAAATTTCCTCTTGGTTAGAGACAGATGGTTTCCTACAGTATGTTTATGAGTAGACCTTGTGGAATTGCTCATCTCCATTTCCCACTTGTCTCAGCTGAGGCTCTGACAAAAACAGAGTGTTGTTGGATGGGACAGTGAAAATAACACTCTGTGTATTTTGATGGCCTTTTAGCTTTTGCTCAAAACAATTATGACATTCAATGAGAAATAAACTGAATCCCTATACAGCTTATGGACCAGTATAACTTCAGAGGCTAAGAAAGGTGTCAGTTTGGTTATGTGCCTAGGATGAATATTTGATATTAAAGTGAATATCTAGCTACTTGTAAAATTCAACTATCAACTGACTACAGCACTTGACTAGTTTACTAGGTAATCAAAAGCTAAAGGAACGATACGATAATTTGCACAATTTCTTAGATTTTATTACCCAAGGTTTTTATTAATTAGAAATGTTAGATACACACAATTAGCCTGTTGTTTCATAGGCAGAATATATTAGAGGTTAATTTTCTGTTATAGCACCCAGTTGTGTCAATCCTTACTCATATTTAATGTTTATTTACATGACAAATCCAACTGGTCTCACTGAGACAAACTGGATGAACAAAGTTTTGTCACACTGCTACTGTATTGTCCTTTACATTATTCCCTGGAGCCAAAACATGTCCAAGAGATTTGGAAGGACATGAAGAAGAAATTCACCTCTGGATGTTCAGGTTACACTGCCCCTAACACATTGTTTTGCTTATTCTTTCCCTCTTCAAAACCACTTAATAACCCTGGGCAGAATATTGATATAAATGGACTATGGGTCTGTCCTGCAGGCATTATACCATCACCCTCTGAAGGGCCAACTCTCCTAAAGTTTTTAATGAGACTGATCCACATCAAATAAGAACTCTGGCATCCTGACTAGCATTTGACTGAGGTGATGTATAGGCAATAACCTGAGGCTGCTCACAGGAAGGTCTTGCCTAAGTTGCCTACCTGCCCTGATTGCTCTGCCAGTAATAACAAAGGAGCAAGAAAAGGGTAGAGAAAAACTTGGCTTGCATTTATAGAGATACACAAGAAGTTCATACTTCTGATGCTAATTTTAATTTGGTTTTCTGTTACAGGCTATGTCCCACATCCTGATGGATATGGCTCTGAATTCTTTTGATGACCAGTATCTGGGATGCAGAGAGGAGATGATGGAAGAACTGGAGCAAGGAGACTATTTTCAAAAGGAAATAGCTGCTAACAAGAACTATTTGAGTCTCTGGAAGAAGGCTCAGGAGGCTTTGTTAAAGAGCCCTGTAGGTCTGCTGAGGGAGATGCATGACAGCCATGCCATAGTCCTCATGGCTTACACTATGAACTCTTCCCTGCACTCTCAGCTGAACTGTGCTACATCTACAGCAGGAATCTCTCCAGAGCACTACAGGCACAACTTCACTTTCAAATATTTTCACTTTTACCTAACAACTGCCATCCAAATAATGAAGGAATGGCAGAGCAGCAAGGAAAACATGGGGAAACATAAGTGCTACCAGGTGCACAGGGGTGTAAAAGGCTTATATATTGAGGCCACGGTAGGCAGCAGGGTGCGATTTGGCCGTTTCACTTCCACCTCCCGCCTCAGGAGTGAAGCCCAGAAGTTTGGGAATGAAACTTTGTTCACAGTGACCACTTGCCTGGGAGCAGCTATGCAAGGCTTTTCTTACTACACATCTGAGAAAGAAGTCCTCATTCCCCCTTACGAGATATTTCTTGTCAAAAACTTCGTTCAGACACAGGACGGTAACAGGCTGCATCTGCATTCGGTGGGAAACTACAGCAAGTACCACTGCCAGCTGGTGGAAGGTATTGTATACAGCTTCTCACACATGGTGGGGACACAGGACAGTCTGGTCTCCACTACCCCAAGCAGCCCTCACCGGCTGCACCTACACAGCATCATGCTCAAGGCCAAATCTGTAGCTTGCCCGCTATGAGAGCCAAATGACTCAGATTCTAACTGTTTGCTGGGAAACCTGGGAGAACCCCACAGGTCACTAAAGATGAAGCCACCTGATACACATCAGGTCTCAGGGTTCTTTGCAGCCTCCATTTATCCCGGGTGCCGTTGCAAGGATGTCGCAGGACTCACGCATTTGGGTTCCCAGTGTTCTTATTGCAAAGGCAGGTGAGATTTGCTGGCAGTTTGAACCCAGATATTTATGCTGGTGGTTTGCAAGGCTGCTGCACTTCCGGCCTCAGGACTACTCTAGTCCACTACTACTTTGTCAAGCTACTGCTTACCTCTGTCAAGCTGAGATAAGTGTAAACAAACTAGTGCTGCTTCAGCCATGATCTCTCTCCTGAGACAGAAGAGAGAAAAGGTATCCTTTGGCAAGGAACACACTGAGCTTCCTGGCTATAGGGATAACTGTACTGGAAGACCTCACTTGGCCTGTTCCACATCTCCATCTTTCCGTGAGTCCACCACCAATACTGCCCTCTTGCGTTTGTCTCTTTGGACAGTAATGTGTCAATGCAATCTTTGAACATGGAAAAATCATTCAGGAATGAGAGTTTGTTCCTGGAACCAAGCCAAAATAGCAGATATAGTTGAGAAAATGGCTTTTCCAGGCAAAGATTGGGTTAGCAAGTGCAGAAAACTTTACGAAGTGAAAAGAGTCCTAAATGCTGCTCTCTTGATTTTTTTTTTCAGCTTCAAGAAGTAAGAACAGAGGTCTCACTCCCATTGCCTCTGCCATTCTTCATAGTGTGGTTGCAGTTTCCATGTGCTTGGCCCATAATCTTTGATTCTCCGGCTGCATCCAGAGTAGCATACCCTCGAATTGCAGATAAGAAGAGTTCACAGGTATTCAGTCTCTGGTGTTCCTGTTGCTACAGAAGGTTCAAACTTCCCTTTGCTTCCAGCTGTAACTCTCCAGCTAAGACTGGAACATTCAGCCTCGTTCATCAGAACAGACATTCCCTGGACCCATTCAGGTAGGACGAATGCTATCCACGGCCTTCCTGAAGACTAAGTCCGGGGTAACCTTCACTGTAGGTAGCTTTTCCCTTAGGCTTTCAGGAAAGACATACAAGGACTTCAGACCCTTTATTTAGTACCTTTATTTTTAGTGACAAAGAATATGGCTTATGGATATGAAAGGCACCACAGTGGTAAAGTTTTTCCCAGCTGCATGATGCCATGTACCACAGCTCTCATCTCAGACTGACTGTCTGTATCTCACACACAGGGGACAGAAGCATGTAGCTATGTTGAGACATGAACTTACTAGCAGAGAATCACAAGACTTATCTTCATCTTGTTCAACTTAGAAATTCCTTTTGAAGAAATCAGATAGATCCTGTGTTCTGTAGTGGCCAGTAAATGCACGCTGAGCATTTTTTCACGCTGAAATGAAGGAGAGTCTGTGGAGCCTTACTGATGTCTTCATGGGTGTTGAATGCGACAGTTTTATTTACCTGCTTTTCTACTTTGCTGATCTGTAATGTCTAATGTTGGAGGTTGAATTAATATCATGAATTGGAACTGGAACTTCTGATTTAACTATAGACTACTCTCACTTTTATGCATTCATTTGGCACTTCTGGAGCCTTAGACACTCAAAGCTTAGAGCTATGGAGTTCTCCTATCTTCAAAAAATAACTGTGGAAATGATAAGGAATGTTTTTTGCCTGCAATTCCCTTTTCCAGCATGCCTCATTTGCTTCTTCACCCCTGGCCCTTCAACCCTACTGATGCTAGCCCTGGGCTGAGGCTATGGTCAGTGGGGTTATCTTACTGGTCTAAGAAGACAAGTCATGGTGGTTTAACTTTGCAGTGGAGTCATCAATTGAGCTGAAACTCACTGACACATTTCACAAATAACCCCAGCTTTTAGGCACTGATGGTCTTGGAAGGAAGCTGGAGTTCAGTATTCACTTCCCTGTCTGAAACAGTAAACAACAACTTATTGTTGTTATCCAAAAGAGATCTGGACAGAAGAGGACTGCACAAGGTGCTGGTCAACTGGTTAGTCAAAAGTAAGGACTGCCAGAAGCACCTATATGAACTGCTTGACTCTTGAAGCAGCTCCATATAAGGTTGGTTCTCCCATTTCCTTGGAAATCTTTCAGCAAGGAATACAGAACTTAGGTACAAGAGAAATATTAGCATTAGAAATGTAGACACTTCAGGAATTTGGATGTCATCAGGTTTTACCAGATTAAATGGCAGATTGCTGGGATGTAGTTCTCAACTATTTTAACAAAAGCTTGGAATCCTTCACAAGGTGGCTTCAGCACCTGGAAGGCTCCCTCTGAGTAGTCAGCTGCTGTTTTCAGACTTTTCTTTATGGATCTGTGCTCTGGAGGAATAGGCTAAAGGAAAACATGAAGCGAAGAGGAGGGTAGAGAGCCAAGTCTGAGCTGTTTTGATGTTCGGCTAGAGGAGGAGCTGCCTTCTATGGTATTTAGTGTTCTCATTTTGTTGCAGCATTTCCACAATATTGGCATAGTCTACGAGAAGTTCTGACACTTGGAGGGATAAGACAGGTGAACTCTGTAACTGCTGAATAGCAGACTCTGCTGCTTCAGGGAAATTGACATATTTCAACATCACTGCAGTAGGTGCACCAGTGGTGTTTTCTAGTGCCCCCTTGTAAATCTCAGAAAGTTCCTTCATTGCAGCAGTCTTGTCCTGCAAGGAGGTGATGGGACCAGGAATCTTAGCATACAAAGTGTGGCTGATGCTTTCCTGTATATCTTTGTAATTTGTTTCCATGGTGATTTGCATCTCTCTCAAAGCACTGACCAAGAGCTGCAGCTGTCCTTTAATGCTGAAATGTTCTTTCACTGGCATGATGGGGAAGTTGGTGCGAAGTTGTGCATTGAAGAGTGAGAATATTGTGTTAGTTGAAGGGACATAGATGTATGTTGTCATGCAGATTCTGGCAGACCCTGAACAGCCTTTTTTTATCACTCTTAAAACCAAGGCTAACATTTCTGGAGTAGGATCTGACTCTGAAAAGCAAACAGAAGAAATACAGAAGAGGCTATTACAGTGGAGTTACAGGGGAATAAAAGTGGATATATTTTTGGCTACGTTTCTTAAACCAGTTGTACAAATTACCAACCCACCTGACCCATTCTTCCTCAAGACATTAGTTAGAAGAAAACAAAGAAAAAGCTCTTTGACAGCCTTTTTAGGAGTCCTACCAAGCAGGCCAGCAAAATATGATATAAACAGTTGGAAGTATCATTACTCTTCTGGCTGCAGGAATTATGACTTTGACCTTTAGCATGCAATTTTTAAAGTAAGAGAAGTGCTGTAACTGAATTATTTTCATGTTTTGGTGTTTGTTGGTAGATTTATGTGAGTCCTAGACAGCAATCTACTTTACATCATCCTTAGAACTATAATCCTTCAGTTTGTATGTACTGGTGGGTGTACACAGAATTAAACTCATATTCTTGGGAGGGGGGAATAAACACAGCAAAATCAAATGCACAACATTACATTCAAGAGACAAAGCAATTGAAGACTGAATAATTCAATGTTTTGACAGGCTACAGTGCTCTGAGAAGTGACCTTATCAGTCAGTTCATACAGCGACTAGATGATGCAAGCATCCCTTGATAGGTGAAGGCATAAAACATTCTCTTTGCTTGGGGTTCCATCTTGATGCCATTTAGACTGCTAAGAAAGTTATGTCCTTCTGCTTGCACCTAAGAATTCTCCCAAGGCCAACTGCAGATACAGTCCTGGGATAGCATGCTGTTGTTTTCACTTGTGCCAGAACCCTGTAAAGCCAGACTGGTTGCAGCTGAAACAGCTATTGCTGTGGTTAGATGTGCAGATAGATGTGCCCAAGCAGTTGCAACTTCCCATCCCACTGTATACTTTCAAAGACGTTTTTCTCAGAGTTCAATTCAGCCCTCTGGCTTTTCCTGCATTTCTTTCCCATGGCAAAAGTCATCTGAAATTGTGTGAAATAGCAAAATTGATTTTAGCCTCCACTGCTGTTCAGAGCTGGGGTGTGTCTCCGCACCACTTCTTCCATTCTCATGGCATCAGAGGCCTGGCAAAGTGCAGTAAAAAAGGATGACAGATACTCCAAATGAAGTATATTCCTCAAACTTAATAGGTCTGGAACAACAGCTAATAATTTTCCCTAAAGACACAAAGTAAAGCAGAAACAAAACTGCTTGTATATTGTTCAAATGATTTTCTGTCGTGTTCCAAATGATAGAGGCTCTAGAAGAGAAGAATTTGCATCCACTGCAAACATTGAAGACATGAAAACAGTTTCCAGCCTATAGAATGGGACACAGAGGCAGTTGCCAGCCTGATCAATTCAATTCAATTCAATTCAATTCAATTCAATTCAATTCAATTCAATTCAATTCAATTCAATTCAATTCAATTCAATTCAATTCAGTCCAATATCAGAAGATATTCAGGACTACATGACATTCTCAGTTAAAAATCAGGAGTCACTATTAATTGAAGATTCCAGAAAGGTAGTAGTTAAATCATTTAGTGTTCTCTCTCAGCTCATCTTCTGATGCCTACAGCTCTGACAAGAGAATTTGGCACAGTATTCATATGAGTTGAATACAGCAGCTTAGCTTTCAGATGAAAACAAGTTAGCATTGCAGAGTATTCATTTTATGCTTGATCTTATGCTTTCATCTGAGAACTCAACCATTCTCTACAGGGGAAGCAGTATTCATGACCAGACCCTGAGGGCTGCAGGTTCACCTTTCTAAGGATCAGAGTATGAAAGATGTTTTGTTTGGTTGAACACAGAAGTGCAAGCTTGTCTTGCTGGGACAGACAAAGCCTGTTTTCAGTGTCTGTGGTATCTATTTTTCTGGTTTTGTGTGGCTGTTCAGCTTTTCTTCCGTAATTCATGGGTATAAAAAAACAGTCGTTGTAAAAACTCATTATTTCAAGGCATAGTTGCAAACATTAATGTTTATATTTCTAAAAAATAGAAATTTATAAATCCCAGTGAAAAACTTAATACTGTATCTATTTGAACAAAAAGTGCTGTCCTACACCATTTGTGTTCTGAGAACAGAAAGTAATACCACCCCCTTTCAGCCATTTCTGGATGTACCTGTGATGCTACCTCTGTTGCGGGCAGGAGGGATTTGTGCTGTATCCATTCCCTCCAGGAACAGAAGGTCTCTGGAGGATCTAACAATTGGGAACTGGCTTTAAGTAAACTGAATTCTGTTAAAATTGGAAGGAAAGGGAAAGGAGGAAGAAAATGAGATGAATCTGGGTAAACATCACACAATAGAATTAATGACAAGCGGGCAGGCAACAGGATGGAGCTGAAGCCCAGCCTCCGTATCCCTAACTCATCACATGCTGCTGGAAAACACCAGATGAACACAGGGGAAAGAGGCTGAAGTTACTGTCCCATACACATTTCAGCAGGAGCAATCAGACAAAATCAGGTAGGCACTCTAAATGTTTAATTAGAAAAGTTTTTGCAGAAAATCTCCTTGGAGCTGGAGAAATTGTCAGAAATATATGTGGCCTGCCTAACTCTATAAAGGAAATGTAAAAATTAGCAGAGGTGAAGACTAAGAAGTAATCTTAGCATTAAGAGACATAAAATGTAGAACAGCTATAAGAACCTGAAATGCATAAATAATAGAAGCTAAAAGTCTCCTCCACACCTGCCTAGAATGTAAAATGTTTGTTGAAGTGCTATTTGTTCTAAAACATTTTGTCTGCTCAGTTTCTGCAAATAAGGAAACAAATTACCTTACAACAAAACACTACTGGAATAGAAAGGTTCTAATACCACACTGAGTCAGAGAGCAAGTCAGCAACATCCCTGAGGCAGGACTGATATGAAATCATAGCTTGCACTGACATGGCTTTATGTTTCCTGAAAATCACAAACCTTTACTGTATATGTACTTTGCTTCCTACAGCTTGAAGAAAAAGATGTGTTAAAGAGTTTATTTTCTTGACAGAGCTACAAGGTAAGTGACTAATAGAAATGCACAGTACAGTGCAAAATATTGTGGAAAAAAAATCTCTTCAGACTAGCTTGTAATTCAATACTGAGATTAAAAGTTGGCAGGGGACTGTTGAAATCATTCTGGTTTTCTACTGTGACCTTGTGGGGGAGGGTGTGTTTAGTAAAATACAGCTGGGTCAGTGTCAGATGATTTGCAGTTAACAGATAGTGCAAGAACTACAAAGGACCAAAATGGCACAAAAGCATCTTTTTAAGAAGAAAAATCTAGGTAGTTCCCTACACATAACTATTTGTACCTCTAACTGTGATATGTAGGCACCAACGGCAAGAAGAGGTTTATCTTGGAAAAATGCTAAGCACTCACCACATAAGTGGCCCAGATTTGCAATAAAGGGCTGAGAACATAAGAAGTACCAACAAAGAAATGAGTCATCCTATTCATTCATAGTTTGCCCCCGTTGTTAAGATTTTTGCATTTAAGTCAAAACCATGCTAAAGCATTTTCACTTTGCAGCTGGTGATGGGGTCAAAGGTAAATGGCACTGTGTTGATTATGGAATCTTAGTGACGAGGAGTAACTCTATGACCACTGGGAACTCAGTCTCTTTGGACTCTGTATATTGACACACAGGTTATGAGGAAATATGTATTAAATATTCCCTTTTGCTGGCAAACCAGCAACAGCTCAGAGAAGAATGGTGACCATAAGGATTAGACACAAGGGTTTGAGAGGAGTTAAATTTTGTGCTCTGCTCTGTACAGTGATAAGGTCAGATTCTGCTCAGTCATGTCCTAGGAGCTTGGTGAGCACCTGCAGATATTGGCTCCGCATGGGAGAACGGGAATGGAGGGAGTGAGGCTGTGCAAGCAGGGCAAACTGGTGTGTGCTGCTCCGAGGCAGTCTGCCTTCACAGACAGCCTGGTGTAGGTGCACCTCATGGTGCTTACATGGTGTGCTGAACATCACACAGCTGTCTGCAGTAGTTTGCTGTTTGGAGCGAAAAAACAATGGGGAATCAATTACAGCATTAGGGAGGTGAATAAACAATGAGGGAACGAGCTTAATATCAGGGAAGCAAATACAGTGGGAAATGTGTGTGAGGTGACATAGGTTAGGATAGGTTTATTATAGATAATTTTCCTATTCTGTATGAATTCTCAAGGGTAAGTTTATTAGTATAAGCACAGAGTGCTTATATAGTAACATTTTCTCTTGAATGTTAGAGAAAAAAAACTGGTATAAAACACCCTTATGGTGATACAGACCATGTCCACTCCACCAATCAGCACAGTTGCTGAAAAATCAGATGCCAATAAACTGAAAAAATAGGCTGATACAGAAGTGTGCCTAGAACAGGCCTTTAATTTCCACAGCTTATTTTAGATTTTGCTGATTAGATGAGATTGTTCCATTTTTTAGTGAACTAGTTCAGCTTCTACTATCTTCAGTTTCCAAGGTTCCAATGTCACTTTCAATCCTCAGTTTCCAGTGAACTGTGTTCTATTTACAATTTATGCCAATTACATATTTGTTACCTATTTTTGCTGCTCCAAGTATACTCAGTGTCTTAAAAGGTCCTTTTCCAATTATTTGTGTAAAGATCCAAAGCAAGAATTAAGATTTGTAAGATATGCTTTGGGATTTGACCTGCTGAGTATAAAAAGAACCAGTGAGGCAGAGACAGAGAATATTTCAGTGCTACAGTTATAGGTGTTGAACAGAGTAAGAGATTTCTTTTCTCTCTTGCAGTAGCCTTTTTCTGAAGAATGGCATTGAGCGACCTCCTTTACCCAGACAATCCCAAGAGAAAGCAAGAATTGATCAATTTGCATCAGGAATTGCTTGAGTGCATGTCTACAAATTTCCGTGCAACAAATGAGCTGGTTGGAGTGCTGAATGAACACCTGGGATGCACCATTACCCACATCCAGATGAGAGAGAGCAGCACTGTCAAGGAAAACTGTGACATTATCATTCAAGTGATGAGTGAGATTCAGCATCAGGTACAGAAGATTGATAGTGACATGAAGGAAAAACTCGAGCCAGTGCTGTACCAGAAGCTATATGACATCAAAGAGCCTGAGTTGGAGAAAATTGCAATAGCCCAGAAAGTTTTTTCCATTATTCTTGGAGAAGCAACTTCAACAGCTGGGATGGTAGCTATCAAAATTCTTGGCTCCAATCTTTTAACTTTCACTGTGAGTAAGCTCATCAGTCTCCTTGCACAGATTGGGGCATCTGTTCTTGGGGGAATTAGCATTACCATTATTGGCCTTGGCATTGAAATGATCCTCCATGCCATCCTGGGAGCTGTGGAGAGGAATCAGCTTCTGACAGCTGTGAGAAGCTACGAGAAGCACCTGGCTGAGTTTAAAGCAGCCTCAGAAAAGTACCAGCGTGCCATACATGAAGTGACTTCTTTGGTGAGACAACAAGCTCAGTGAGTGGATTCATAGTTCTCTCTTCTCCCGTGACAGTGGCTACAGCAGCTATGCCTGAAGTAACCTTTTTGATTCATTATGGCAAATGAACTACTGATGCCTTTTTTTCTCTTATTAGTGGCCTCAGAGCAAGAGATGTGACAATTCTGAGAACTGGCAATGATATATATTAATTGGAAACTGGCTTATAGGTGTTCCTGGGAGGCAGCGTTTCAAATTCTTTGTACCTTTCCTTCACTATTTTCTGGAATGCATTGTAGATAACCTTCAACTGTAATTCATTCTAGTGACGATAATACTCACTGCTGGAGCAGTGGGGGGAGGTGTGATTTTGCTCTATGTTTCTATATCAAAGATGACAACATGATGAGAGAAAACAATTTCAAGAAGGCAATCTGTGCAAACATCTGGAGGCTTCATCAGGACAGCTGTGGTTGCTAAACTCGTGTGGATTAGTGCTAAATCTGATAGACTGGATTCCCTGTTCCCTGAACTACTTATAAGGACTAGCTGAAGCATATTTAGCTGCTATTTCCTGTCCCATCCCTGCCTAAGGAGCCAGCCAGAGATCTTCTTTAAATAAACTCTAATCCCAGTAGATTGGCAGGTAAGAGAAACCTGGGCCTACAGGCACACACACACAGCCTTGCCCCATAGCTGAGAGAAACCAGCTGCCACGTTCCAAGCGTGCCTGGCTGTGAATAACCTCTTATGCTTGGTAATGCTCTTTTTTTTGCTGCTGCAAACCCACAAGTAAAAATTTCTTTGCAAATCTGCTGTTCTGTTGATTAAAATGGAATCATACATATGTACAAGTGCCTGTAGGATTGCAGCCCTATTAATGCACTGAAGTTATTTTCAAATGCTTTACCCAGTCCCACCAATGTGAGACTGCCAAGAGTGTGCTCAGATTCTACATTTCACAATATGCTACCAAATGTCCTTATTTTTCAGATTTTAAAACAAAAGCTGGAAGCAAGAACATGATTTGTAGTCTTTTGCTCTGATATGCTGTGGATTGCTTTCTTTTGATCTTAGAAAAAAAAGGTAATTTAAGACTTAATAAAAATGTACAATTGGAAGAACTTTCTTTTCTATACTTTTTTCTTTTTGTTCTGAAACCCCAATCTTAAACAAAATAATGAACAAGTATTAAAATCTTCATTACAGATGCAAATTTTAAATTTTATAATTTTTTTTATATCCATGATAGATTGAACTAGTTGGATTGTGTATAGTTTCCTTTTTTAGTGCCATCTTCCCCCAAACTAAAAGCACGTCCAAATTCATACACGTTTTTTAATATTCAATATTAGCAATAGTAGTTTATTGATCACTAGATTGTGCCTATGAAAGTAAAGAAATGGGTGAGATTACAAAAGGGAAGTTCTAAGTAGGCTGCACAACCCTTCCGTTTTGGGTTCTTTTTTTTTTTTTTCCCCCTCCCCCACTGGTCTCACTTTCATCATCTTTTCTGACTCTGCTTTTGTGCTCAAAAGCCACTAGATGGCGATGAAATTGCTAGCACTAAACAGCTCTGCCAGCCATCAGGGAGAAAGCCCACAGTTCAGGAGCATGGTGGGTGCCAGGAACTGAGAAACTGAGACCAGCTCAAGCCGCACACTGGGCTGTGTGCATCAGGAGAGGCAGTTCAGAGGAGGCAAAAAGCACTGCATTGCGTGCGTGAGGTATTGTGGTGGATGACATGGTGACCTGAGGCATCATTTCTCCACAATGTGACATTTTCTGTCTCCTGACACAAGTGGCACTCAGTTCAGAGGTACTTACGTAGAGCCAAGAGACTGCCAATCTGCAGAACAGCAATATTTGAGTGTTGGAGAGGTAGGAGTTCCTAACTCCTGCTTTCTATGTGCAAATGTGTGTTCTAAACTAGGAAGAAAAACCACCACCTCTTTGTGAGATTCCCAGTCACAGCTGTCCAAGAACAGTGGAGTCAAATAAAAATGAATCTGTTGTATTTTTCAGGCAGTTTGTCCACATTTTCTTGAAAGCAAGTACTAAACAGTGTCGGGGAAGTGGGATACACAATGAGGAACACAGAGATGTACAATTTCTACTCAACTCTATCCATATGCTCGTTCCTAGGCAACTTAAAGGAAAGCTGGCTACCCCACCACAGAATTAATCCCTGCTCTTTCTAACCCTCTGTTCTGCCTTACACTTGGTGTTCCAAAGGTGTCATAACCCGTCTGTTGATGTTTCTTCTCTACACTCCTTGCAGCTGCACCTTGGTGTGACAGAAGTACCAAGTGAAAAATGTGAGAGAACTACTGTCCAAGTCAGCAGACACTGCTGGGAGAAAGCAGTCAGGGCTGAAGCAGCACAGTTGTCCCCACTGAGCCTAGTGTTCCCATAACAGAAAGCTCCAAGCCTTGGGAGGTGCGACTAACCTTCAGAAATTCATCTGTCCCCCTCTCCAGTGACATGGTGTATGACAGGGATGCGCATGGCCACAGCTTTACATCACATCCCTTCAAGCATTCTCCCTTTGCTCAGGCTGCTGTTCTGAACAAAGGATTAAGAATTAAAACTGTGATATGTGTGTTCCAAGTCTCAAGGAAGAAAAGATACTAAAGCAGCCCAAGCCAGTCTAAGCTGCTTTCAAACCTGTGTGGAAAAACAGTATGGTCGCAAGCAAAATCTGCCCTGCAGAAAATTCTTTCTGCTAACAAGAATAATGTAAAGAGAATGGGCCAAAGAGGCACAAGGTGGGGATGATTCTGCTCTGTACATGGTTAGCAAGACTTGCTAGGCACTAAGAGCTCCTGAAGGCCTGGCTCGGAGGATGCTCCTGGACTAGCTATTTGCTAACTTGGATTTTGTGCACTCTGTGATGGATGTTGGCATTACTATGATACACAGCTTACAGTCTTTTACCCATCCTGCAATGTTCCTTCATAAACTTCCAGTTTGCCAACTGAGACTCCATTATCTGAAAAACTGTGACAACGTTGTCTTGCATGGCATGTTCTCCAGGAGCAAGGGGGTCTACAAATCCTACTCAGAGATCTGACCACCTCTGTTCCCAGGTGCTGCCTGTGCAGAGAAAACTGTCCTTCCTACACCTCTCCCTGGCATGCTAGTTCTTTAATCCTGCACCTATATTTTATTGCTTGCACCCTGATGTTTCATGAATCTTTATCCTGGTTCTTTGGGTGGTGTGGACTTTTTGCTAGAAATTGCACTTTGGATAGTGTCGCAGAACAGCTCCTACAAGGTGTTCACCAGCCTCACCCGTTCATCACAATGGGAGCCGCAGGAAGAGACAAGTAACAGAGTAGCTCCTGTGGTCCCCGATGGGACCAAACTTTCTCCGGTTCCCTTTGTACAGTCTGAGCTGCCTGATGAACGTCATCCAGTCACTTTTTCCCAGTAGTCCTGTGAAAGGCAACTTGCCCAGGAGTCCAAGAGAGGGATGCCAGCTCTGCTCACAGGGCAGCAGCGCTGCCTCGAGGCCAAACCCTACAACAGACCCCTGTGACAGACCCGAGGCTGTGGGCAGCTCCCTCCTGCTCCCGCAGCACTTTGCGTTTATTCCCCATGTTTCAGGAAGGGGGGAGGTGGGCACTTTGTGGGATCTCCGCTGGACAGTGTGGGAGAACAGCGGCCTCGGCGACCAAGTTCACAGGGCTTCCCTTCTGTCCCTATTCCCGCACTGGCCTATTCCGGTCTATTTCCAGCACTGGCCCTGCCGGCGTAAGGCTCTCTCATCCGTATCCCTCCTGAGCCGTGTCTTCATCCGCTCTCAGAGTTCGGTGGGGCTGCTTGGGCACAACCTGTCCCTGTCCCTGTCCCTGTCCCTGTCCCTGTCCCTGTCCCTGTCCCTGTCCCTGTCCCTGTCCCTGTCCCTGTCCCTGTCCCTGTCCCTGTCCCTGTCCCTGTCCCCGCCTCCCGGCCCCGCCCCCAGCCGAACCACAGAGTCGGAACCTCCGAGGGGGAGCGAGGGGCGGCGGAACCATAGAGTTGGGGCAGCCCCTTCCGGAGCGCGGCTCCGCGCGCCGCCACACTGTGCCAGTGCAAGATGGCGGCGGGGCCGCGGCGGCCGCGGGGCTGAGAGAGAGGCCGCGGCTGCACCGGGAGGGAGTCGGGCCCGGCCCGGCCCGGCCCGGCAGAGGGGTGAGAGCGGTGGGCGGTGTTGGGATACGAGGAGAAGGGAAGCGAGGAGAAGGCGGCGGTTTGCACTCCCGCCTTCTCTTCCTCCTTCCATTGGGGGAGGAGGAGGGAGGGCTTTCTGTCCCGTTCCTCAGTGGCCAAAAAAAAAAAAAAATCATAAATTTAGTGCTTGATTTTAATTTTTTTTCCCATCTTTGTCTGATAACTTATTGCGTTGAAACTCTTTGGTTTGGGTCCTAAGAAGATTTGGGATCGAGGTTTCAGAAGTTTGTTCTCTTTCCCTTTACCCTTTAAATGGTAGAAATGTGGGAAATAAGGGATGTAAATGTAACTGCTGCTTCTGTTTGGTGAGCTTCCCACCGAAAGAAATTATAGTGCCTTGCAAAAAAACCCCCATTATTTTGTCAGGAAATTAGGTGTGGAGGTAGAGGGAGAGCAAAACTGAGAAGAAACATCTGGGACTGTAGTTTGAACACTTGGATAGGGATCTGTAAGGTAAAGGAATGCCAAAAGACAGGAAATAACCTTTTCCAGAATAATCCTTTGTTTGGTCATCACAGCACAGCCTGAAATAATGCTGATGGAGGCAGGGAGCACGGGTGGGCTCTGGGGAGGCGAAGAAAACGTGGATGTGTGCGGCACACCTGCTGGTGGATACAGTGGGATCTGGGGAGGGACAGCAGTGGCAGATGAGATTCTGAAGAAGGGAGGACATTTGGGGGGAAAATATTTGAAACGGAGAAAGGTGAAAACTGGAGAGTTCTTGTGAGAGTAAATGAGAAGCTGAACTCTGATACGCTCTTAGAAAAATAGAATGTGTGTTCCTGCCTCCCCTGCATCCCTCCACAGTGTAAGCAGAAAGCTTGGTGGTTTGAGTCTTACTGTGAATAATGACAACTTTATTGATTAGTTTAAAATTATTACTTAGTGAAGTAGTAGTAAGTAGGTATTTAGTTAGATTAGTAGTATTTAGTTAGAGTAGCTTGAGTTCGGAATTGGGTGTGAGGACCTTGCAAGTGTTTGAGTTCTTTGAGGGCGCAACCTGTTGATGCAGAGAAAAGAAATAATCATAATTAAGCTACCAGTGACCTGAAAGCATATCATCTTTTCCAGGTCTCTCCCTATTTTTTAAGTTTGTTTTGTTGAGGCAGAAGAAAAAAGATCAAAATGGGGCGGAGATCTACATCATCCACCAAGAGTGGGAAGTTTATGAATCCCACGGATCAGGCCCGTAAGTATCCATAAAAGCTAAGCAAATGGGAATGGAGGGATGCCTTTGAAAGCAGATAAAAAGCTTTCTCTGATGATAAGATCCTCACTCGTGAATCAGGACTGAGTTTCCCTAACTTGAAAAACATCTCAGTCCTGGCTGAGAAGGCTTCTTGCTTTCATGCCGTTGCTTCTCTGAGTATTTCCCTCTTGGTTCTCGCTGTGGTTATCAGTTTGTGTGTAGCTGTTGGCTAAACTGCGTGCTGCTTTCTGGGACACAGTTAATCTGACTGAGGCAGGAATTTGAGGAACATGCCAACTTTTGTAGGTGCTCTGGTTAGATGAGGGAGTTGTTTTAACTGTTTTTTTGGCTTTTGCTAACATGTCAGAAGTTATCAAGGCTAAGTACATAAAGAAAATCCAGACTTACGTGGTGGAAATGCTTTGTTTCAGATGCATAATCAAAGCTTAGATATTTTTCAAGTGTGTTGTCTGTTGACTCTGTTTCAGCTTCTGTGCAGCAATCTTTTCACGGTTGCACATATCACTATGACTTCTGTTCCCTATTATTCTGTTTTTTGTATGGAAGAAGTCCTTCTGGAAACATGAAGACTGCAGTATCTCTTTTTTCTGTATAAAACACATGGAACAGAAATCTATTTTATGCTGTATTTCTCTCTCAGTGGGAAGTTGAGTTACAGTCTTTGTAAGATGAGTGAGCCGTTGAGAAACAGCACTAGTCTTGATAAAGAAAAAATTCTTCAATTTGATTGTGTCTTTCAAGTTATTTTCTTTTTCTTTCCTCCTCTAGGGAAGGAAGCTAGGAAAAGGGAACTAAAGAAGGTAAATAAATAGATTGGGAACATTTAGTTGGCGTTTCCTGTACTGTGTATCATGTTTGCAAGTGTAATGGGCTGTGGCTGATTAATAGACTACGGATGTTTTGGTGGATATCCTAAGATTGACTTTGGAAAATATTATCCAAACAAGTAGTTTAAGAAAACAGAAGTCATGTTTGGAGTAAACATATCACCTGCTGGTTTTTAACTTGTAATTTTTTGGAAACATTATTGTAAGTAGTTAGGAGTAAAATTTAAAAAAAAACCACCAAAGCAAACAAACAAGCAATAAATCCAATACAAAAAACCCAAAGCAAACAAGAAATAAGCTACCCAAAACTCGCACACTTTTTAGTGTTTTACTCTATTTTGTCAGTTGGTTATTATGTTGATTGTATATGTCTCAAATGAAGTGAATGAATTGTAGTAGCATTTGTAATAATCAAGATAGTTGAATTAAAGTTACCAGGAGTTTTAATTACCTTTGCTTCTGATTTGTGCCATTGTGAACATTCGTAGGGCGTTTTGAAGTGTGTTTTTTTTGTACACACTGGAAACATTGAGAGAGGGTAACAGATGTTCTGTGTCTTTCTTCTGTGACACTTTTCTGATCCGCTTGATCTCTGATCTTAGAACAAAAAGCAACGAATGATGGTACGAGCAGCTGTACTGAAGATGAAAGATCCAAAGCAGATTATCCGGGACATGGAAAAATTGGATGAGATGGGTGAGTAAGAGGTACCAGGTGTTGGACTTAGGCAGTGGTTTATTAGATGTGTAGCATAGTTTTTAGGGATGACTGGGGAGAATATTAAATAGAGTGACTTTTTTCCTTTCTTGTCAGAAGGAGAGGTTCTGTTAAAGCTGGGGATTGATCACAATTAAAGGTGATGTGGTGCCATCAAAAATTACTTTTTTCAGGAAGGTGGCTGATAAAAAGAATGAGTATTGTGTGTGTGATATAGTTAAAGGAGAGTGTTGTCATAAGGCTGAAGACTTCCTGAAAATAGGGTTTGAAGATGTTTTTGCTTTGAATTGGTTTCATTCATCACGGTTGTGCAGTAGAGTAATTTATGATTTTTTTTTTTTTTGGTCATTTATTTACTGTCTTGGATCAGAGTTTAACCCAGTACAACAGCCGCAACTTAATGAAAAAGTGCTGAAGGATAAACGCAAAAAACTCCGTGAGACGTTTGAACGTATCTTGCGGCTCTATGAGAAGGAGAATCCTGACATCTATAAAGAACTGCGCAAGTTGGAAGTGGAGTACGAGCAGAAGAGATCACAACTCAGCCAGTATTTTGATGCTGTCAAGGTAATGCTTATTATATTTTGGTCTTGTAGCTGCCATAGTGCATTCTCTTTGCTCATTAGGTGGGACAGTTACAAAGGAAGGAGCTTTATAAGAGACCAGTGTCATGTAGCCCACGTGAAATACTTACAGTAATTTGCACAGTACTCCAATGAGAGCATTTCAGTGAGGATAGTGCGGCTGTTGTCAAGGCACTGTTTGTCTCTGATATGCTGATCTCACACAACATGAAAGGAGGAAAGGGAACTTTATGTTGCAAATTAACAATATCGGCATTTTGACTCTGTATTAGAGAGAGAACCTGTGAGTGTGCAGTTGATATATCTGTGAATTTCTTCTAAATCTCATGCTGGAAATAATGAGAAGTCTTTGGCATCCTTTTAAAGATCTTTTTCTATCATTCTTCCCTGCTGTAATGTAGAATGTAGTGTTGTGCAAGTGCAAGGATCTGTAAGACTTCTTGTTGTTTTTTTTTCCCTTTGGAATATGCATCAGTCTAGGATTTGGGCTTGCTGAATGCTTAAAAAATACAGCCATACTTGTCTGCAGCCTCTTAGTTTTGGAGATTGAAGGTCTAAAGTGAAACAGAAACATGAACACTAAAGCCTTTCGTAAGTGCATTGCATGTGCTTTGTTTTGCATTGAAAGCTTTTACTGTTGACACTTTCCCAAATTTCTTTCATGGGCTGCTGCAAGATAACATAACCTAAGAACAGACACCTTTGACAAGTGACGGCAGGTCCCGTGTGTTCTGTACTCCGTAAGGTAATGAGGTTCTGCAGTAGCTTCTGTGTGGGAGTAACCTGTTCTTTCTTTTTTTTTTTTGCCCCTCCCTTCCAGAATGCTCAGCATGTTGAAGTGGAAAGTATCCCCTTACCAGATATGCCTCACGCTCCCTCCAACATCCTCATACAGGACATTCCCCTTCCAGGGGCCCAGCCACCTTCTATCCTCAAGAAGACATCAGCCTATGGGTAAGTGGAAAAAAAGACTTAGAGGAGAAGTGAAGAAGAAGCACTCCTGTTACTGAGAAGGAACTAGGGGTAGAAGCAGAGGTAATATTAACTTGCAGAAGTGGTGAATTCTGAACCAAAGTCCTTTTTAATCTTTTCCTGCTGTTACAGGTTTTTGTTTAAATTCCTTTGAGTTAAATACTATGCCTTCTAGTTTTTGACTTTTTGAATATCAGTAAAAATTAAAATCCTGCCACTTTGAACATAAATGCCCCTTAAATTGCCATATGTGTGTTCTTTTGTCCCACTAGCGTATTCAGTTTATATGAATAGCTTATATAAACTCCTAGTTTGCTTGTTTATTTTTTTTCATTCTAGTACTAGTTTTTTCTGTTTCCTTCTGAGTAGCCTTCTGTTTTCACCAACTCAGTGATCACTTCATTCCTTTTCTGTGGTAGGATTCAGTCTTTGCTTTTTTTCAGTGTTCTCTTCAGTTGCTTTCTGAGAAGCTTTTGTCTGATCTTCAGCAATCATGTCTTTGTATGAGATTGTAAACTCCTTGTGTCAGATCTAGAAATGTCAGATTTATAAATGTTTGTGTTTCTTTTTAGAAGGCTGCTGTGTAAGCAATGATGAGTGAAGGCTAAATAATTCCATTAAGGGCATGTTCGCTTTCGTTTGTTTGCATTCCTACATTTCTCATTTCCTTTCTTATTTCCAGACCTCCAGTTCGGTCCATTTCTGTACTTCCTCCTCCTGGGCTTGGTGTTCCACGTTTACCTCCAGGCAGGAAGCCCCCTGGACCTCCACCAGGGCCACCCCCTCCTCAGGTCCTGCAGATGTATGGCCGTAAAGTGGGTTTCACCTTGGAAATGGCTCCTCGAAGGCGAGAGGAGGAGATTTCTTACAGTTCTGAAGCAGGTAAGAACTTTTCTGTTACTGTCTGGAGTTTTCCTTGACCTGTTTTGCTATGAATATAGTGTACCCTAGACAAGGTATTCTCTTGGCAGTATGGGTGTTAGTACTACTTGAATGACTTCTCTTAAATGAGTGTACCTCTAAGGTGATTCTGATCTATTCGTAACATCTGCAGTTTTGTTTACCAGGTGTATTTTTAAATGTTGAAACTTTTAATTACATTTTTCAGTTGTTTTTTTTTTTTTCTGTTAGGTTGCCCAAATTGGATATTTTCCCATGTGGCCTTAACAGTGCTGAAAGATTGTACATGTTATCCCTTAAAAAAAACCCAGCTATTCTCTGGGAATTCTTCCTTTTGAAAAAAACACCAAATAAACAAAACCCCCAGACCAACCCACCCCAAACCAAAACCACCCAGACAACCCTGAGTGCGCTTTTGCTAGGAGAACCTAGGTCCTCCTTTTCACACAACTGCTGTATCATCCCTAGAAACTTTTGTGAATGGATGGGTTAGCTTTATTTCATGCCTGAAAGCTTGAAAATACTTCAGTGGTGGGCAATTGCTGAATAGAAGTTAATGAGTTGCAGTAGCAGTTGCGAATTAACCAGCAGGCTAATGGGAAATCCTATAAATAGATTCTCCAAAATATTCTTTCAGAATATGTGCTAAACAGTAAAGGGATGACAGTTTGTCAGTGCTGTTGCTAGGGGGAATTTTGTGACTGTAGACGTACAAAATGTTCTTTCACACCTGTGTATTTGGATTTTATGCATTTCCTAATACTTTGCTATCTGCAGGACAGCGAGGGCATGATGATGATATGTCCAGCACTAGTGAAGATGAAGGTTATCCTGAGGATATGGATCAAGACAAGCATGATGAGAGCAGCGATGACAGTGACAGCGATAGGTCAGATGCGGACAGTGAAGGCGAGGACTTCCTGCATCGTGACAATGACAAGGAGAGGGAAGGTGGTGAAGAAAAGAAATCAGGTATGGGAGGGAACTTGGAGACTGGGGTTTGATTTTTCGAAAGGAAAACGCTACTTGGTAGAGTTTGTCAGCTCTCCTGACTGATGATACGTGTGTCATTTATTTAGTCAGCTACTCTGTTCCAGCTCACCTAAATTCCAGCTGAAGGATTTTTATTAATAATTGGGTTGAAAGGAAGCACTTCTAGAATGGTCTAGAAGTAGAGCAACTTTCAGATAAACCTGTTTTCTTAAAAGTTGAGTTAGCTTGTAACTCACAAGCCATTTTTCACCTGAAGCCTTGACAGGGTACCTTACAAAATTAAGCCTCAGTATAAAATAAGCTCACTTGCTTGGGGGAGACGAATTGTTAGAGAATACTAGGCTAGCAAAACTTCAGATTATCAGGAACACCAGTGTTAACTCTTATGTTAGGATCATCATTATGTTAGAATGATGCGTTATCCATAACAGGTGTAGATGTAACTCTATCTGATTTTTGTTATTTTCTTCCTACTTCCTGCCACCCTTGTCCATATTTTGCTTTCCCCAGGTCATAGTGTCCGGTTTGCAGACATGCCTGGGAAGTCACGAAAAAAGAAAAAGAACATGAAAGAACTGACTCCACTCCAGGCCATGATGTTACGAATGGCAGGTGAGAAAAATGGATATAGTATGAGGTGATACTCCATTACAGAGTAAACATTTTAGTGATCTGGTCATACTGTCTGATCTGCTAAGAGCATCAGCTCTGGTTAGGTATTTGGATTTGGTGGGGTTTTTTTTGTTTTGTTTTGTTTGTTTGTTTTTTATGTTTGGTTAAGTAGTGTATGCACTTTTGCATAGCAGAGTTGAAGTTAAGACTAGCAATTTACTGGGTTTTTTCTTCCAAACCTTTTCTTGCTTAACTTTGGAACAACTGCTCAAATGAAATATGAACCCATTGGTGAAAGAGAAAGGGTAACATTGTCCGTGTGCTCAGCCTGTAACCTGTAAGGGTTTGTACTCCTTAAAAATACCCTTTTACTGAAATAAGTTAACCAATAGAGTAAAGATTATTTTTTGTTTGTTTTAGAAAGAAAACCCCAGTATCTTTCAAAGGTGTGGGAGCTTCTAGGACATGGGGACTGTGTTTGGTTTGAGATTCTGTCTCCAATCTCCTGTCCCTGTTGCCTCACATAACTCACACAAACTCACATAAACCATAGATCAAATAGGTACAGTTTGGATTGGTAGTAGGAGCTTCAGATCTCACAGGAACACATAGCTCTTGTTGTCAGAGCTCTATCTAGAGCAGTGATGATTCTTCTATTATTATTTTTTGTTTATTTTTATTTTCTGTTTAACAATAAAATGTGGTCAGATTTCTTCCCTTTGAAGTAAAGTTTATCTTTCTTTTTCTTCTTTTTATTTTGTGTACTCAAGATTCTTTGATGTTCACAAAGATGTTACATCTAGATGGATTTTATAAATGTATCTCCATATCCAGGTCAGGAAATTCCAGAAGAAGGGAGAGAAGTGGAAGAATATTCAGAAGAGGAAGAGGAGGAGGAAGAGGAATCAGAGTCTGAAGAGACATCACAGCAACAGCAGCAGCAGCAACAACAGCTCAGTGAGGAAACTCTGGCAGAGACCGGGTCATCTACTGCAACTTCCCAGACACAGCAGCAGCAACAGACTGCGCAGAGTGTTCCTCCAACTCAGATACAGGCACCTCCTATGCCTGGGCCTCCTCCACTAGGACCACCTCCAGCCCCTCCACTGAGGCCCCCAGGCCCACCCACCGGCCTTCCTCCTGGCCCTCCACCAGGTGAATACTTGATTTACTTACTCTGGTTAGAAGGATGCAGGCTCTCAGTGCTACAGGCAGTGCTATCAGTTGGGAGCTTTGAAGCTGCAGAACATGTTGCAGGTGGAGTACATGTGGCTGGTGTGGTAATTACTGAGACTGTATGGTGTGTTCGATCATCAGTCTATTGATGCTGTACCTTGCTTTTGAAGCATCAAGCTCCCCTAGCTGAAGTCTACTTGATGGGTTCTGTCTTTGTTAGAGTCTACACAGGCTGCAGCAGAGCCAGTGTATGAAGTGGAGTAAAAGAGCAAAAGCGCTTATTTTTAGGCCAGGAGAACAATCAAATGCCACAGAGGAAAGTTTTTTAACTGTTTAAATTCTGCCAAACTCAGCTCAGTAGCTGTTTTCAGTTACTACTTCATTATGTGGGGAGGAGTCTTTTTCCTAGGTAGGAGAAGATACTTTTATTTGACTATTATGAAAAAGCTTTAACTCTATAACTGCAGCGTCTTTTTGAGATCTTTAGACATTCTATTTAATCTGGCAGCTGGCTAATAAGCTTTCAGGTTGCTGTTGAAGATCTTTAGTATTAGCTGATAAGATAGTTGCTGGGACATTTTTTTAACTATGAATTAAGTTTCTCTTTCATTGTACCTATACTTTCAGGAGCTCCTCCGTTCCTGAGACCTCCTGGCTTACCAGGATTGCGTGGGCCTTTGCCTCGACTGCTGCCACCAGGCCCCCCTCCTGGACGACCACCCGGTCCTCCCCCAGGCCCCCCACCAGGTCTGCCCCCTGGTCCTCCTCCACGTGGTCCTCCTCCTCGTCTGCCCCCTCCTGCCCCACCAGGTAAAGTGTTCTGTTTGTTTCCATGCCAAGTCTCTTGCTTTATTTTCCCAGTTTGTGCTGTGGTGATCAAGGCAGTGAGTATAGTTGGTGGCCGTTTAGCCTTTGTTCCTGTCTGTGTGGCTGCGTTGTGCTTTGTGCTGTTACACTTTTCTGTGTAGTAACAACAAATAAGTGCTGTGTATAGTCTGATAGCAAGAAATCTATCCTCAAAAAGGGAATTTCAGAGTTTAAACTTTTGCTCTGCTGGACTCTTTCTGAATAAGCTGTGTGTGCTATAATGGTTTTCCAATAAATGAGTTGAAGATTGGGATATTTATTTTTTCTATCTGGGTCAGACATTTCTGATGACTCTGAAATTGCAGTGAGATGGATTGTCAAGAAACTTTGAAATTTGAAAGGGAGCAGTAAACAAGTTCCTGTTGCTTTCAGAGTCTGAAGAGCAGCATTTTCAACCCAGCATTTGCTGCAGGGTTGAAAACTTTTTTTTTTTTTTTTTTTTTTTTTTTTTTTTTTTTTTTTTTTTTTTTTTTTTAAGTCAGTGCTACTGCATCTTGTTGGGGGTTGTTTTGTTTTGGGAGGAGGGTTTTGGTTTTTTTCATGGCATTCTGAGCCTGTGTATTTTTTTTTTGTGAAATATTTCAAAATTCCCAGGTGTGGAGACAGCTCATGCTTTCTTTTCTCCTTACAGGTATCCCTCCTCCTCGCCCAGGCATGTTGCGGCCACCTCTGGTGCCCCCATTAGGACCTGCCCCACCTGGGCTCTTTCCACCAGCTCCCATTCCAAATCCCGGGGTACTGAGCGCCCCACCCAGCTTGATTCAGCGCCCCAAGGCGGATGACACCAGTGCAGCCACCATCGAGAAGAAAGCCACGGCCACAATCAGTGCCAAGCCGCAGATCACCAACCCCAAGGCAGAGATCACCCGCTTTGTGCCCACTGCCTTGCGAGTGCGCCGGGAGAATAAAGGGGCTTCAGCTGCCTCCCAGAGAAAACAAGATGATGAGCCTGCCCTGCCATTAACCAAAGCTGCCCCCAAGGCTGGATCGTCTGCCCCTATCTCTGTACAGACAAAGGATGATGTGTATGAAGCCTTCATGAAAGAAATGGAAGGTCTCCTGTGACCTGTCATAGTCCTAGTCAGCTTTCCTGCCCCTCTGGACAGATCAGATCACTGTGGAGGGAGGAGAAGGGAAAGTCCTCCTGCAAGCAACGAAAGGGCTCACATGACAGGGAATAGTTCCTTACCCCCCAGGTTAACTTGCCAGTGTGCTGTGAATAGATGGGGTGTGGCTGGGGACCTCCTCTCAGAGCTAGAGCATGTCCACTTGGTGAAAGGAAATCACAATAAGGAGGGCAATGCTGCTCCCCTCAAGTCCTCCCCCTTCCTTGGAGGGAGATAGTGATACTCTGGGGAGGGGAGTGTGGGATAGGGAGGTGACTATGCTCTGCCTGAATCCTTACACACCCCGAATGCTCTGGTGAGGGTAGTGGAACAGGTTTTTTAAGGAGCCAGAAAAGAGTTAGCAGCATTTCATACACAAATGGTTGTCCAGTTTTTATTTTCTGTACTGGTTGTTTTTTCTGTAAATATTTTATAATCATGTTTTTTAGTTGCAGTGAGGTTGATGAATCATCTTTCTTCCAGGGTGGTCAGGGAGATAATTTGTTGCGTATACTGTACACTGGAATTTTGCACCCTATCCCCTTTATGGTCATCTTGATGGATTGTCATCGGCTGGGGAAACTTCATTTTGTCTTGTGAAAGACAATAAATGTTCAGTGTATCAAAATTCTGGTTTCCTTGTGATTTGTGTAAAACTAGTTGGCGGGTGGAAAGGAGGGAGGATTCTTGGCTGGCCTTGAGAGACAATAGAGGCATTCTGAACCTCAGGAAAGAAAAACTAACTACACTGTAAATAATGCATAATTTTTTTTCCCCACTGAACTTCTGCTATATTCTTGTTTTTTAGTTCCTGAACATCCCTTTCAACCTTTAGCTAGTAGCTAAGTAGAAACTGAAGTACTACCAATAATTACAAAATTATTTCCTTTATATACTTATTGGAAGGTTTGCTTCATATCAAACCTCAGATAATCACTGGATCCATCAGGGACAAATAAAAATTGGTTAACAATTTTAACGTTGAGATTAACAGATAATTTTACTTGTGGATAATACTAGTATTAAGATACTAGACTAGCATCTGCCATATTCTCTATGTGGATGAGCCCTTCTCTGTTGGGGTAGAATGAACACTTGCGTGTTGAAGTACCATCCTCTTCTGGCTGAGGCGGAAGGGTTTGAATTTGCTACATGTTAAATGGGTTCAAAGAGGGGGTTAAACAAGGTAGGTAATCTCCCTCAACTAATAGACCTCTAAGATGGCTTTGGGGTGAGTGTGGAAAGGGGAGGTGAGATGGGAGTGTGTACTTAGGATAGCACTGGTCATGAACACAATCAAGTAATGTCATCTTTACTCCTTCAAAACAGATGTTCTCAGCTCTGGACTACTGATAGTATAAGCTCAGGCTACCCCTCTTTTTTTTTTTTTTAATTGTGGTCATGCAGGGTTTGGGGTTCTTCTCTGTGATACCACCTCCATCACATTTTTCATCTGTAGCTCTGAGTAGTGTTCATAGAATAAGAAATGATCATGGGGAGGAAATGGGCTGGGAAAGGGCTGAGACACTGAGAAGCGATGTGACTTACCCAACACACCACTGAAGGTTAGTGACTGTGTAAAGATGGAAATAGAAAACAACACCTGAGATGAATTAATTCATCGTAATCCATTGAATCATATCATTAGGCAGAGATTCATCCTAAATGTTATTGAATCCTCAGGACAGGGACCTGGATTTAGTTATCCAGAAATAAACAAATAGTGACAGTACTTTGTGTGTGCAATGAACTTCTATTTTTTTTGTCTTGTTTGTAATCCTGGCATGCCCTGTACAGTTTAGATCAGAATTCCTGTTATTGTACCCTTCTGGAAAGAAGGATGTGCTTCTCTCTTGGTCTCTGAATTGCAGAGTTTAGATTCAATCTTTTGGGGGTTTAGTGTTTTTGTTTGTTTTTATTGTTGTGGGGGTTTGTTGGATTTTTGGGTTTTGGTTGTTTGGTTTTAGTGGGGGTTTTCTTTTGTTGTTTTGTGGTGGTGTTTTTTTTTGTTTGTTTTTGTTTTTGTTTGTTTGTTTGTTTGTTTTTGGTTTTTGTTTTCGAAAGTCTATCATGGATAGCCTGGTGGAAGTCATGTCTTGGTCCTTGCCTGAACTATTACAATGGTAGCACCCAGGGTAAGTAGCACAGTCTTGCATGCACACTACCCCGCTGTAATGTTATGATACCCATATCATAGGATCTGTTGTGCATTAAAAAGCAAACCCATGATGCAGAATGCATAAGCATCAAGGAGTGAAAATGGGAACAACATAAAAAAATAAATTACAAGTAACTGGAATTTATGGAAACAAGAAAGCAGAATCCCATGCTATGGGGAAAATGGAGGAAGAGCCTGTTGTACAACACGGGTGTAACAGAATGATGTGGGTAAGACCAGGGTGCAGGCTCCTTCAATGTCTGCCCTTGCTCAAGATGTATGGAAGAAGAGAAAAATATGCCAGGAAATAAAGAGAAACCACGGGTAATTACTAAATGAACACGAATCTCTTTATCTGTAAGACAGGGCTAGGTCGCACCAGACAAACATCCTGAATGTTCAGGAAATCACTTCAGCTTCCAGGTGAAGTGAGCTATTCTTCATTTTGAGTGATAATGTAACAGCTTGACTTCTAATGCTCTTCAAAAACACCTTCCAATTAATACCTTATTGTGGCCGATTTTAGGAGCTCTCTTAACACAGACACAGAGCCTAGTTTAGAAAACAGACTTTGTTTATTCTGCACAGGGTACAAGGTGGAGGTTCCCAAAAATCAAGCACACCAAGCAGTAAAAAGTTACATCTTTCATACAGTGAAATTTATATGAACCCGCCTATCTAATAAATATTCTCCTCCCACCTAATACATATTTATTTATGTGATGCAATCTTACGCAATGCTTGAAACACTAAGTTCTTTATTAAGCAACTTGTATTGTAGTTTTCCGACGACATCAGCTACGTTTACAGGGGTTAAAGGTTGAGAAGACAGCCTGGAGACAGACAGTAGAGCTTGAAAATCAGTACTAGTTAATCCGCCTCTAATATCATAGAAACCTCCCGCACTACGTGCTGCTGCCTAGCGTCTTCACATATCGATAGTGCTGGGTTGTAGCTGCTCCCCCTGAAACGCAAGTTTCTCTTTTACAGTAACAATAACGAATTTTTAAGGTAGCGTTGTAGTGCCACTTCTGAGGTTTAAAGCACAGGACTGTTTCTAAAGCGACAGTGATGGTTTTGGCAGAGTTCCCCCCTTTTCCGGGACAGGGCTGCGCGCCTCTGCTCTCCCGGGGCAGGCGCGGACACGTTTCCCGGGAGGCGGGCTCACGGCGGGCTCACGGGGTAGTCGGTGCCAGCGCTCGGCCCCCGGTGCCGGGGCGGGCGCGGCGCGGGCGGAGGTTCGGCCCGGCCCGGCCCGGGGGCGGCTCGGCCGCCGGCGGCTCCCATTGGTTGGATTTGGATCCGCGGCGCCATTGGCCGGAGCGAGCGAGAGCGCGGCGCAGCCAATCGACGAACAGAGCGGGGCGCGCGGGGAAGCTATAAGAGGGGTGGCGCGAGGGGCGCGGTGACACGTGATCACGTCACTGGCAGCGGAGGCGGCGGCGTCGGAGCAGCGTCGGGAGCGATGTCCGGGCGCGGGAAGCAGGGCGGGAAGGCGCGGGCCAAGGCCAAGTCGCGCTCGTCGCGGGCCGGGCTGCAGTTCCCCGTGGGCCGCGTGCACCGCCTGCTGCGCAAGGGCAACTACGCGGAGCGGGTGGGCGCCGGCGCGCCCGTGTACCTGGCGGCCGTGCTGGAGTACCTGACGGCCGAG